GAGAGAGAGAGAGAGAGAGAGAGAGAGAGAGAGAGAGAGAGAGAAATTCTTTATTTGATCTCAAAATAAAGTAACCAAGCAAAGCCTCAAATATTGAATTTAAACATTTAAACTTTGGTAACCATGTTTCCAAATGTGCAATATGGAAGGAGCAGAGGAAGTGAAATAAACTGTTTCTCTTCATTAATCAGTCTTTAGCTCAGGACTCTGCTAGTGGGTAGGAGAGAAAACTAACTTTACTCCATTGCATTTAACAACACAGTCCTGGCACCTTTTGCTTTTACTAATGTAGCAAACATTACAAATTATTTTGTGAGGGATTGGATTCTTCCTTTTATGCTTCAGACTAAAAAGTAATGAATCTATCCATTAACAGATGATATAAAGGGGAGCATAACTAACTTTTCATTGAACATCTTTCACGCGTCATAAGATCGGTGCATCTTAATGCTGAAATCGATGTTCATTTGGTCATGCTGCATGGCCATCACCATAGTGAAACAAGTATTCTCAACTTGATACACCATGATGCACAGGGTCATCATGAACAAAATACCTTGAAAAGATTTTCTCAATTCACATTTTAGATCATATATAAGTATATGAAATTGAAAATTCAAAATGAGAAAAATCAGAATAATAAGTTATGATGATTCCTGGTTGTATTGAATTATAGTGCTTTATGCACTTCAATTTTTGGAGTTTGGCAATATTGGTGTGCCCTTCACTAACTTTTAGATCATTTTCAAATTTTTATCCAGGCTAGTTCCAAAATTTATGTGTATAGTCTTCCCTCATTCCACTCAAGGGAGTAGTTCTCTGACCCCACCTTGATGGATACCAAAATCCACAGATGCTTCTTTCTTTTATATAAAATGATGTAGTATTTCCATACAACCTACATACATCTTATAGACTAAATTATCCCTACATCATTTGTACTGCCTGATACAATGGAAATTCTATGTAAATACTTGTTACACTGCATTGTTTAGGGAAAAATGACTAGAAAGATTGTACAAGGTCAGTATAGAGATACTTGTCTTTTCCTGATATTATCAATCTATGGTTGCAGGAACCCATGCTTGTGGAACATGCAGGGACAGAGGGCTAACGGTGTTTTCATGGCTTTGTGTTTCTTAGTGCCAACTAAGAACTCACCAACTATTATGAATTATGTTCTGCCCCAATTTTGTATGTTGAAGGGCTAACTCTCACTGTTTCAAAATGGAATCATAACTGAGATAAGGTTTTTAAGGGGCTAATTAATTTTAAATGAGTTATTTTCAGTGATCATAATTCAATACAACTGATATTCTTACAAGAGGGAATAATTGAGCACACAGTAAACTACATGAAGACTGAGTGTGATGTTCACTTCCTATAAGCCAAGGAAAGAGGCCACAGGAGAAACCAACACTGCCAACATCTTAACCTTAGTCCACCCTATCCCTGGTACCAAAAAAAAAAAAAAAAGATTTCTTCCTTAGTCCACCCTAATCATGGACTTCTGGCCTCCCAAACTAGTTTTAAGCTCTCCAGCCTGGGCATTAATTATAGAAACATTACAACAATAATATGTGAACTTCTATCCATGAATAGCTTTTATTTCTTACTAATCTTTTAAAAAACTGGGACTGTCTATAAAATATATCACTGTGTTATGCTGTTACTATTTTCTTTCAAGAAAATATAAATATTAGCCTCTAGTCAGAAAAATTACTTTATATTTTACCTTACATTTTTCGAGGTTAAAATATAATTATTACTCTCAAGTTACACTATTATTCTCACCATTGTGTGCTTTTACCCTAAGCTTGATGTAAATAGAATAATCACAGAAATTTCTCTAAATTTACAAACTTCTGCTACTAACTTTACCATGTCACATGCATAATATAGCCCCTGGTATTTTATGTTATTGCCACAGAATGAATGTCTGTCATAAAATAGCCACTCCGAAAATGGTACCTAGTGGTTTCTCTATGGAGAATACAATGTCCTTCTAAGTATCCACTCAAGTTAGGGAAATTTTTAAATGTTTCTAGACCAAAAAAATGAAACCTAAGAGTAAAATTAGTCTAAGGACTATAAATGAGTTCTGGGGTTTTAAGTAAAAGTAAACTGAACAAGCACTTTCCCTTCCCATTTTCCTTCACTTGCTTTCCATACCCCTCAAAACCATGCAAAAATGTAGGCTTCGTTAGGTCATTCAATACTCACCCATTGACGAGAAAGTTAAATAAGTGACCTAAATAATAAATAAATACAAAAGCTAAGACCCGAGTGGAAAGAGGCAAGGACCAAACTACTTAGACTTGCACAAAGTCTAGGATAAAGGAAACATTTGTGCCTCGCATGTGGAATAATCAAATTCTACACATGGAAGCAAACGTTGACCTTTGAGGCAAACCTTCACTGGAGCAACTCAGCCTCTCTGGACATGCTCTTGCTGTCTATTTGTTGAGGACGCAGAAGGGAAAGGGTGTGGAGGAAACTGTAGGGATAGCCGTTCACAGACTCGGAGTTCACATCGTGCTTCACACATGTTACAGTAAGTAAATGTTACTAAGGCTTACCAATTGTTAAAGTGACTTCCATCCATCCATCTCCAGATGTTGTCCGAATTGTGTTTCCTCAGTCCAATCCAATATGTAGAGGAATTCAGATAGTCTGCCAAAGATTCCTGTGATCAAATACAAACTGTTGTCATAGATCTCTCCTACTTTTCTCATTTCTACTACATGAAATGCTACTCTCCTTGTCTGAGTCCATTATTCTCTTACTAGGGTTATTACAACTGCCTGGTAATGGAATTTCCTGCCTTTATTTGTGCCACCCAGTGTCAGTCTCATCACAGCAAGTCAAATGATTCTTTTAGCACTAAATGAAAGCATATCATAATTTTGCTCATAATTCTGAAACATCTTCCTGCTTTGCTTGGAAGAAGAAAATAAAGTCTTTACAATGACCTACAAAACCCTTGTGACACACATCCTCACTTTCCTTTCATTTTAGACATTCTGACCGGCCGCCTCTTTTCTGTTCCTTCAGCATTCTAGCCTTGAGTTTAAGATTGCCCTCTAGGTGTTTTCTTTTTTGGGCAGACTCCCCTAAATGCTGCCTTAACTAACTTCTTTACCGGCTTTACATCTTTGCTCAGATATAATCTTAAAGAGCTGTACACCTATCCACTTGGGGACCATAATATCCATTAATTTGCACAGAGCTTACTAATCTCCAACACACTATCTAATCTACATATTTGCTATGGTTCCTTTTCATTGCCTGACCCCTCCTGTGGGATGTAATCTCCACATGGACAAAGATCTTTGACTTCTTTGTTGACTAAGAGATCACACCCAACAAATACGTTTCCCATATAATGGCTCTGTGGATTGTTATGTGTGTATTGAGAAGGAATCTAACCATTTCAGTCCAGGAGGTGATCTTGGCCAGAGATGCAAAATATTTTCTGCAGTGTCTTTGTCCCTCCACCCAAGTCATTTCATGTTCAGATTGAAAGAAACACTTTTGAATGATTAGGTCCCAGTCAGGTGGACACATCCTCATATCATCTGTGCAATTCTTATTCATTATTTTAATTCCAACTAAAATTAACAGTGATAAAAAAGAAAGTGTAAGAGGAAATGTTTGATCTTCTGTGTAAAAGATTTTAGATATTTTATGTTGTTAAAATGATTTTATTTTCTCTTTCAGTTTAAATGATTTAACTTTAAACATCAACGCAGAGGGATATTTGAGTTGAATATCAAGAATAGCACATGAAAGAAATCAGCATTGGAGGATGCCAATCTATCCATAACTTAAAACAACAATAGCAAACAAGCAAACTTCCAGAATTTCCATATCCTCCAGCCATTTTTTTCCTTCTATTTTCTTGCTCATGCTTCTGGAATCTTTTCACTGGTTTATTTCAATTCCTAAAATTTACCATGCCATCTGGGACAAGTTTCACTGTAAGAAAACAAATCTATTTCAAAACCTCAAAGACTTGTTTCTGATTGACTTAACAGACTCATCCGTGTCTCAATTACAAAATTTACCCCGAAGTCAAAAGTTTTATCTTTTGTCTTTAACAAAAGACATTAGAAGGAAAAAACGCTGAAATTTTACTAATTTTTTACCATCCAGTTTTTTACTCCTTAACTTACTAATGAAGCAGAGAAAATTACTTGTTAATGTATAACTCTGTGAGAAAAAAAATTTAAGGTGTCCTTCACCCAAAGCCATAATAAATGACTGACTTATAGTCAAATGTATGAATGGGAAGATCCTGAAATGGAAGGATAAATTAACAAGATGTTTCCATATATGTGAGAGCTGGTAATGTGTGTTTCCGTATATGTGAGAGCCAAGTGCAAATATTTAGGTCACCAAAATTTTTTGAAAGTATCAAGTTCAAAATTATTTGTAAGTGCCAAGTTCAAATCAAGAACACACACAAACTCAAATATTTTGGTTTGGAACAAGTTGGAAGCAAGACATAATTGTTCCTGCGCTAAAAATGTGTGCTTATATGTCTGTTTCTTCAGTTAAAGATATATTCTTTTCAGGGAAGAACCCCTCTCCCTCATCACATTTGAAGCATCAGCCACCAACACTTTGCCTGAGTTCAATAAATATTTATCGAAAGATTGATCACTCTAGAAGGTGAAGCAGATAACTAAATTTTCAGAATACTCTGATTGACTGCAGATGTTCCCAAAAGTCCAAAGAAATGCTAGTCATTGGTATCAGACTGGATCAGTAATAATACTGTCAATATTTTAGCATAAACTGTTCACTTACTTTTTCTCGGAAATTTTAACATCAGCCAAAGAAGAATGGCAAAACCTCCACATAACAAGACTGAGAGGATTATCATTTTCCTTTTAACTATACACAAGGGAAACACATGTCAGTATCTCTGGAGAAAAACCAACAACGCTCCAAGTAATATTTATGCTTCTTCTCCATTTCCCGTGTGTCCTCCCATTCCCAACCCCATAATCAATCTCCCAGGAATGGAAACAGGTACCGAGCTAGAACTTGAGCTTTGGCGCCACCTTTTGGTGTCATTTTGCAGAACCATGCTATAAATTCACCCAGCGCCTGGGGCCTCTTAATGACAAATTGTATTATCGAGTAAGGGAAATCTGGGGGGACGGGGGGGGGAGTATTTTCTTTGTTAAAGAAGGTTGCTTTAACTTAAGGCTGTTATAGTGAACAATGTCTTCCGCCCCTTCTTGCCCTCCAAATGCTGACCGTCAAGATGGGGCCAGGAAACAAGGCTCAGATAAGAACTGTGCTTTTAGAACAAACGCTGTCATCCTCCTTACGTTTTTTTTTGTTTTTGTTTTTGTTTTTGTTTTTGTTTTTTTTGGTGGTGGTGGTGGTACTGGGGATCAAACACAGGGGGCCTCTGCCACTAAGCTCAGCACATTTTTATTTTCATTTTGAGACAGGGTCTGGCTAAGTTGCCCAGGTTGGCCTGAAATTTGCGGTCCTCCTCCTGCCTCAGCCTCTCAGATAGTACAAGCCAGGGCCCTCGCTCTGCCTTTAACCAACCTTCTGTTCTTCTTTTCCTCCTGTTCTCCAGTTCTTCTTCCTCCATCTCCGACCTTCACCAAAGAAGCGCTTCTGTGATCACAGAGGCTGGAATTATCTGGGTAGTTACACTGGTGCTTGTAAACCCTCAGGAACTGAGGACCTGGTCTCCTTGGAGGGGGGCCTCGCAGCAAGACTGGACCGGCCAAGCGCGCAGCAGTGCAGCGGAAATCCTGGGTGTGAACCCCTGGTCCCAACGGGCCTCTCCTACCCCGGGCAGTAACTGCTGGGAGTCTGCCCCAACAGCAGCGAGGGTTCAGCTCCCGCGATTGGCTGGAGCCCAGAGACAAGTGATTCTGATTGGTCCTTAACCTCCCACCTGCCAACCAATAGTGGAGCACAGCGTGGAGGTCCTACAGCCTTTTCCTTTTCCTTTTCCGTTATAGAGCCTCCCTAAAACCTCAAATCTTATACAGTCGTTTAACATAAGGATTGCCTGCGGTGTAGACTGTACCCTTTCTTTCCTTAAGGTGGCTCTTTATCACAGTTTTTTTTATCTGATCTGTTTGTTACCTGACTTCAAAGTTTACCTGTGCATTGCTTAGGGAAATTTAGGGAAGTGAATCCATTGTTTTTCCAGGTTTCAGTGAATGAAGGTGTGTTTCACAGGCAATCTTCATTTTGCAAGTAATGCAGGACAATAACAATTACAGTACAAGCCAACATCGCATCAGGAATTTTTTTTATTAGATGTTTGCAGTGCATAACGCTACATTCTTTGTGTGGAGTTGGTTCGTGAACATAACACATCTTAATTCCTTTTTTCATCTCCTCTCCCTCCTTTCCCTCCCACCTCCTTCCACCTCTCGAACCACTTTCTTCTTGAGAAAGGTCTATTCCTCTACTTCCTATTATCTATCTCTTATTTTGCTCCTTATTTATAATTTGACTTTCTCATATAAAAGAAATCATGCAATATTGTATACATTTCAGTATGTAGATCCTCAAAAAAATTAAACATAGAAATTATATTTGTCCCAGCTGTTTCATTTTTGGTATCTTTTGGAAAGAATTAGAGACATGATATTACAGTGATACATGGATATCCATATTTGTAGCAGCACGACTCACAACAGCTAAATCTTGGAAGCAGCTTATATGTTCATCAAAGAATGAATGGTTACAGAAAATGCGTTATTTACACACAGTGGAGTACTACTTTGTCACAAAGAAGGATAAACTTGAATAATTTTTAGGAAAATAGATGCACCTTAAGACCATAATTTTAAGTGAAATGAATCAGACACACAAGGGTAAATATTGCATGGTTTATCTTATATGAGAATCCCCAAATGTAAATAGAGAGTAAAAATAAAAGATAGTTAATAGGAAACAGAGAGCTATGTCTTTCTCAGATGGAAAGGGATCAAGAGATGAATGAGGGAGAAAAGGGAGAAGGGGATTTAAAACAGGAGTCAAGATGTGCTATATACATGTATCAACTTCCTACAAGGAATTTAAACATTATGCACTGCAAACACATTCTAATACAAATGATGAGAAATAAGAATCACTTCATTATTATCTATCATCCTTTCTATAGAGGGCCATCATTTAAAGGAAGGAATTAAATGTGGATGATAGAATACTCATTCATATTTCAAAACAGAGGAAAAACCTAATAGTAATCATAACAATAAGGCACCAAATTAGCAGCACATGACAGTTACATAATAAAAGAGTTTCTGTAGTCTGCCATTTACTACAGTCTGGGCCCTAAAGTAAATAGAAGATAGCGAGGAAAGGACAGGTCATTATAGATTATCTCATTCCTAAATTTCAGTTAATGATTGATGACTAAAAGGCCACAGAAAAGAAATAAACTATCTTACATTTGGAATTGGTGGCAGAATTGGTCTTATAATATCTTTACATGTTTCTTTAGCTTATGTAGCTAAAATACATTCCCCATCCTCCCAAGATGCCTCTTCAATATTCAACAAGTCAAAGAGCTACAGGTGCACTAGTGCGAGAAGTTAGAATTGATGCAGATGTAGGGCATTGGTTCTCACTATACAGAATGCTTCCTTTGATTGCTGTAAATAGATTAAAGTATGAGAATGGGAGATTATCCAGCTGCCCTGACATAGAAAGATACACTTAATTCCAAGTGCTAAATCTGAAATTTTTTGTTTAAGTTATGTGTCATATGCATGATGGTGGTCTATAAAGAGCCTGGATACAGGATTCATTATCTTTTCCTTTGATCTAAAAAAGAAGAAACAGTAAATTTGGACAATGTCACATACAGAGTAAAGGAAATCATAATAGTGATGAAGACTATTCACAGAAATCCAATAAAACTATGTTCTTCTTGCAGAACACAAATGCAGACCTTTTCCAAAGAGTTGATTGAGGGTAAATGTTTTTTAACTAAAATATTTCAGACATTGCAAAATAGTGAAATGTCATGTTCTGCTCAGACTGCCAGCTGTTTGGAGATTAAGGACAGGAGTACATTACTACAACTTCATGTTTCTTTCCTTGGGAGAAAGGAAATCACTTTTTCCAATCACACAATAGCTAGGAGTAGAGCATATTGAAGACAAAGAAAAGAAGATCTCAGCACCTCAAAGCAGGATAAATGGGTTTATTTTCTAGGCAAGACAAAGTTGGACTTCAGTCAACAGGAATGTATCTGGCCCTTCTCAAAAACTATTAATGTGTCAAACAGCAATTATAATAGACTGGATATCAGTGGCCAACAGCTATCATCTAGCTATCTTAATGACTTTGCTTACCTATAGGTTTTGGAATGCATGCCAGAAATATAGATAATGCAATCCGGGCTATGGGACCATTCTTCTCCCCTCACCTGAACCTGACCAATGTCCTAAGGTCAAGTGCCCTACACCTTGTCTTAAGACTTACTATAGGGAGGGAGATATAAGAAGGCTAGACCTCCAAGCCTCCCAAATTTGGAGGAATTCCAAAATTCTAAACCAGGATGCATGTGCATCAGACCTGCCATCATGACTTGCAGTAATCTTGAAGGTTCATGCATGTGGACAGCATCTCCTACCTCCAATTATCATAGGGTGAATTATGGAAAAGAAAGTGCACAAGGGATGCAGCTGACATGACTTAGAACCCTGTCAATCATGTTGTCAATCATGCTCTGGAGAACCCCAATGGGATGCCCCCCCAAAACTGTCACAACATTTCAAACCCCTACATCTTGTGCCCTCAGCAGTTGTTGTGCCATTCTCTTTTCCCAGGCAGGAGTGTACTACTGCCTTAGCAAACTTTCCTGCTTTTTCCTTACTATCACATGCCACATACTCTTCTGTGCTCAACAAGCACAAGAACCTGGGAACCTGTCCCAGACTCCATCATCCACAGTAACACTGGGGTTACATGGCAGGCAGGATGGTAGTTACATCCAACATGGTTGTAATCATGGATCCTACAACAGCCCAAACTATTTCTACTGATTTTGCAGAAAAAAGCCATCCAATTTGGGGCTGGTTGCTCCACATTTGTCTCTGGGCTGTTTGTTCAGAAAGCTGATATTGAGGTCACTTTGCCAAACATTGTCAAATACCCAGGCTGGGTTACCAAGGATCACTGTCAATTTTGTGAAACTTAAAGTACACCGATCCTGCCCTCAGTTACTCTGATGACATAGATTTGAGACAATGGCCTGGAAATTTGTGCTGTTTATAGATTATCCATTAAATCTGTAGTGAAGCCAGATTTAGAAACCTCATGGCTGCTATAAAGTGAAGAAAGGTTATGTAAAATAAATGTAAAATATGGCTTTTCCCTAGGAATTTTGTGTGTGCAAGTTCTATCTACATCTATAACTAATTTCAACAAAAAATTCACTAGGAAAGAATTTAAGATAAAAAAGGAGGCTTAATTTATTTAAAA